CTGCTGCTTCTTTCTGCTCCCTGCCTGATGTCCCCTCCCAGTATGGTTATGGCGCTATCTCCCTCATCCTCAATATCTGAAAGGAGTTATGCTTGCACATGACCAAGGTCATCCTCCCGCAGCAAGTCAGTGATCTTGTGATTAAATAACTCTACCAACTCCTTATCACCAGTTAGCGAAGTTATGGGAAAATTAGCAACAGAAGAGGAGGAAGAAGAAGAGGGTGTGACGGGGAAACCCAAACTCATGGGATTTCAGTAACATTTTGACCGTCATAGCCAAATTGTACAGTTTTTATTATACAAGCCTGCAGGGAGAGCTGCAAAACACAGAGTATTGGATTCAAATTTGCCCTGACTAGCTGTGGTCTCTAAAACCAAGTCTTAAACTGGGTAGGACATGAATTTCTAACTACATCTCATCCTTGTTTCTGGTGGAAGTTGTTGAGGTGACAACAGTTGTTCACATAGGCTGTTTACATTTGACACAGTCCTCCTAAAACAGTTTCCCAAAAACAGAGAACAATGTCCCAGTTAAAAGGAAGTGTAAATAGCATTCTAATACAAATGATGATACAGTATGTCTTCTAAATAAGCAATATATGCAATAAGTCTGCTTAACCGCTTTAAGTCCACCCCATAGCAGATGTATTGCTACAGGGCTGCCATGCTGTGCAAAATCACTTAAATATATGTAATATACTAGGTCTCCTTAGTAAAACAGCACACACTTTTCACAGTAAAACACAAACAACACACTCTTAACTCTTTGATTGCCCAATATGTTAACCACTTCAAGTCCGGAACCTTTTACCCCCTTCCTGTCCTGTCCAGGCCAATTTTCATCTTTCAGTGCCATCACACTTTGAATGACAATTGCGCGGTCATGCAACACTGTACCTATATGAATCTTTTAGCATTTTTTGAGACAGATAAAGTTTTATTTTGGTGGTATTTATTCACCACTGGGATTTTTATTTTTTTTTGCTATATAAATGAAAAAGTCCAAACATTTTGAAAAAAAGTGTTTTTCTTATACAATTTTGCAAATAAATAATATTTCATCATAAATCTTGGCCAAAATGTATTCAGTTATCGTTTTAGTAAAAAAGAAAACCCAAATTAGTTTATAACCAAAAATTATAATTTTAAAAAAAAAGTTTTACATTTTTATTTTTTTATATTATTATTTATGTTTTGGGTTTTTTTTTTTTTTACATACTGTCACCCTAGCACCCTACTTGTGGGGGTGTTGAAGATTTTCTTTTTTTTTTTACACTGATTGCTTTTACACCCATAAAGGATGTAAAAGCAATCATTTCTATTTCTCTCTGGCTGCATTCTTGCAGCCATTGAGAACTACTGTGTGAGCTGTAATTGGTCATAGCTTGTCACATGGTGCAAGGCTGTTGTGAATAGCCTTGTACCATGTGACCTATGTGAACATTCACAGATGTCACACGTAGTAAGCAATTATGTCAGAAGTGACATCTTGCTTACTACTCTGCATGTGATCACTGATTGGGCAATCAGTGATCACATGATCGGGACCTCGCACAGAGGTCCCGTACGAGGATCGGTGTTCCACTGTGTCCGAAGGACACAGCAGGCACCGGATCGCTATGCTGCGCTCTACCAGGGAGCGCGCACAGTCCAAAATGGTGGGCGCCGTTTATGAACGGCAACCCGCCCTTGGGCTGCCACCGTCCGGCCGTTTATATACAGCGGCCGGACAGCAAATGGTTAACCCCTTCCTGCCCCGTGACATTTGTACAGTGTCAGTGCTTTTTATTAGCACTGATCACTGTATTAGTGTCACTGGAGATGCCAGTGGCTGTTAGTCAGTTCCCACCCAGTGTCAAAATGTGGAAACTCTCCGTCTCATCAGAGGCCTGCCTGACATTTTTAATAAAAGGGATTGCCTAACGTTGTTGGTAGTTATATGCAGTGCCAGATAACCAAATAAGCAGAAGAGGCACCAGTCTATAAGCCCCACCTTGTTTAATGGCCTGGCAATAATGGTTCGGAATAATATTGATTTGATCTTGAAATATATTTACAAAGAATTGTTTACAAAAGATATAAAAAATTAATAAACTCTAAGAAATTAAAACTGTACATCAAAGACTCTATAGATAAAATTATGTATTCATGTAAAGTAACCAATAGCAACTTGGGGGGGGGGGCAAGGTTTCAACTGCCTAGGAACCTTCACAAAGTTTAAAGAAAACCCTGAAAAAATAAACCCAAAAACAGTGACCCCAACACAATTTTTTAACATGCAGAAAATGAAAAGTCTTAAAAGAATTGTTGGGATTCTGTTGCTGTATTTAAGCCAAGCTAAATCTAAAATAAAAAAAAAACAATTACAAATCCCAAATATGTGATGCAGTGAATATGGTGTCACTGACACAGCATCACATAAAGCTTAAAGTAGGGATGAGCTCCAGGTTGAGTCCGAACACAATTTCATACCGAATTTTGGCAGTTCAGGCGTTCAAACAAACACTAGTTCAACAGGAGATGAGCAAGTAAATGGGGGTCTGTGTGCTTTTTTGTTTTTAATCATTTCCTGCCTAACTACTGTACATAAACGGCCAGGCGGGACAAGTGTCATTCTGGGAGAACGTACTGTACCCTTATGTCCTTGCAGAACTGTGCCTTATGTATTCCCCTAGAGCATGCAGTGACGAGATCTTGTTATCGCTGTGTCCACTGGAGACAGTGGATCACTGATCTGAGTACTCCACCCTGGTACCATGTAATCAATGTGACCAAACACAGCAATCACATGTCCAGTAGTAAAAATGGCTGCCAATCATACAGCCATTGAGAAATACTGTGATCTCTGTGATTGGTCACAGTGATCACACGATACAAGGCCAAGCACTGCCTTTCTGTACCATTTGATAGCTGTAGCCAATCACATTCATCACAGTAATTCTCTATGGCTGCATAAATTCAGCAGAGAACTGTCAGAAATGGTTGCTTACGCAGCCATCAAGACTGTATAGGCAATTATAGTGCAGAAAAAATACCAGTCACTTCCCTAGAGTAGTGCAGTGTTACTATGGCAACACTGCATTGCTCTGGTGACATAATTATTTTTTAACATGCTGTCACCAGAGAAAGTGCATTGTCACTATGGTGACATTGTACCACTGTGGGGGTGATAATGTATGATGGCTGGCTGCTCTGATATCACTGTATATCAGTGCCAACAGCCATTATTTCTGATCACTACCACAGCAGTACTGTACAGTGTTACTAGATCACTGCTGCCAGTCAGTGTCCCTAATCACCGCAGCACCAGTCACTGTTCCCAGTACTGCCACTCACTCACAGTGTCCCTTATCACCACCACACCAGTCATATTGTCCCTGATCACTGCCACACCAGTTATATTGTCCCTGACCACCGCCACACCAGTTATTTTGTCCCTGACCACCGCCACACCAGTCATATTGTCCCAGATCATCACCACACAAGTCATTTTTGTCCCTGATCACCACTAAACCACTTGCAGTGTCCCTGATCACCTCCACACCAGTCCCAGTGTCCCTGATCACTGCCACCATAGTCATATTGTCCCTATTGACCGCCACACCAGTCACATTGTCCTTGATCATCGCCACACAAGTTACAGTGTCCCTGATCACTGCCACACCAGGCAGAGTGTTACCATACCACTGTAAGCCAGTAACACTGTCCCTGATTGTCGCTACCCGTGTAGTGTCCAAGTGTCACCTGACACGTGTAAGCCAGTGTTCCTGATTGCTGACACACTAGTCTTCAGTGTCACCAGAGCAGTGCAGCCAGCAACAATGTTCCTTTTGCCTGCTGCCTGTACTGACCCTGACCTGTTTGATGATCATGTCTCTGCCTGCGGCTTGAACTGACCCATCTGCACATCCGACTGACTATGGGTTGCAAGATCAGTTAACCCCATATAGGTTCAACCTATACGGGGTTAACTGATCTTTCAACCCATAGTGATCCGTGGAATCAGCTTCAGTGGTTTTCAGCCTGTAAGGGGTTAACTGTGGCACCTCTGTTCTAAAGTCGGAGATCTGCTTCTTCGGCCTGAAACCGGCACATGCGCAGTTGCTTCAGGGTATACATATCTTCACGGGTCGGGATACTCATTTTTACCGTTACACCGGCACCGTTCCTTTCTCTCTTTAAGGGTGACACCACATCTTACAGCACCGGTTGACACCAACCCTAGGGATGCTTCTGGATAGAATGTATAAGCAAAAGAGATGGAAATATAATTCAGTTGTGATTCCCTTGGCGGGAACAGAGTATCCCCCCCCAAGGAAGGATAATACTGTATTTCAACAGTATAGGATAGTAATGCAAGAGACACAATTTTTTAGTAACACCTCTATATTAGACTTCTTCAAAAGAGTAGACCACAGAAATAGTGGGTTTAGGATATACAACCCCAGTTAACGCAAAAATTTAGAACACTCGTAAAATAGAAACAATCAATTACCGTATTTTTCGCTCCATAAGACGCACTTTTTTCCCCCCAAAAAAGGGGGGAAAATGTCAGTGCGTCTTATGGAGTGAATATAAAGCGGCCGGTACGGTATTTCTGCCACCACCATGTCAGAATACCGGGCCGGCCGCTCAGCTGTTCTCTCCTGCATGGCCTTACCTGTTCCTCGCTCCAGCGCTGCACAGTCTTCCCGCGCTGGCTTCTGTGACAGCCGGGTGCCCACTGCACATGTGCTGCGCTTTGTGAATGATCCGGTGTCTTCTGGGACACATGACAGGTCCCAGAAGGCGCCGGGCCATTCACAAAGTGCAGTGCTTCTCGCGCATGCGCAGTGGGCACCCGGCTGTCACAGAAGCCGGCCCGGGAAGAAGAGGGAAAGACAATACCGCGGAAGTGGGAGCGGGTACCTGTCAAATTCAGGTACCCACTCCCCCTCCCTCCCCAAAGGTCAGCAGTCTCTGGTCATTCCCTGCACTGTCTGCAGTCTCTGGTCATTCCCTGCACTGTCTGCAGTCTCTGGTCATTCCCTGCACTGTCTCCGCAGTCTCTGGTCATCTCCTGAACTGTGTCCGCAGTCTCTGGTCATCCCCTGTACTGTCTGCAGTCTCTGGTCATCTCCTGCACTGTGTCCGCAGTCTCTGGTCATTCCCTGCACTGTCTCCGCAGTCTCTGGTCATTCCCTGCACTGTCTGCAGTCTCTGGTCATCCCTGCACTGTCTGCAGTCTCTGGTCATCCCCTGCACTGTCTGCAGTCTCTGGTCATTCCCTGCACTGTCTGCAGTCTCTGGTCATCTCCTGCACTGTGTCCGCAGTCTCTGGTCATCTCCTGCACTGTGTCCGCAGTCTCTGGTCATCTCCTGCACTGTGTCCGCAGTCTCTGGTCATCTCCTGCACTGTGTCCGCAGTCTCTGGTCATCTCCTGCACTGTGTCCGCAGTCTCTGGTCATCTCCTGCACTGTGTCCGCAGTCTCTGGTCATCTCCTGCACTCTGTCTGCAGTCTCTGGTCATCTCCTGCACTCTGTCCGCAGTCTCTGGTCATCTCCTGCACTGTGTCCGCAGTCTCTGGTCATCTCCTGTACTGTGTCCGCAGTCTCTGACCATCTCCTATACTGTGTCCGCAGTCTCTCTGGTCATCTCCTGTACTGTGTCCGCAGTCTCTGGTCATCTCCTCTACTATGTCCGCAGTCTCTGGTCATCTCCTGTACTCTGTCCGCAGTCTCTGGTCATCTCCTCTACTATGTCCACAGTCTCTGGTCATCTCCTGTACTGTGTCTGCAGTTAATTGGTTCAGAATATTTTTTTTTCTTGTTTTTCGCCTCTAAAACCTAGGTGCGTCTTATGGTCAGGTGCATCTTATGGAGCGAAAAATACGGTAGTAACATTTAACAATTTATACAGTCATGAGTAGTAAGCTTCAACTATTAAACTGCAACACCAGCAGTAAGAGGGGGAATAAAAAGCTTGTTGACTTATCTGCTCCCTATAGGCCACGGGCACCACAATGGTGGATGCAGAGAATTATGTAAAAGTATACCCCAACATATATAGATATAAATATCTTAATTTGAATAACAATAGCCTCTGAAGAGAGTGGGTCCCTTTAACTGGAGATTGCAACTTGATTCCTGTGATGTTTAAAGTTCCTGATATGGTGGTGTTTGTTGTCTTCTGCTAGCAATTGTGGGGCTCATAAACATTAGTGAGTACTGGTAATTCAATTAAGTTAAACAGATAGGCTGTGATACTGCTCAAAGCAAAGATCTCTAGATACTGAGGTGTAAAGGTGTCTGCATTCAGTGTCTCTAGAGAGAAAGAGGTTGGGCATCCGCTTGCTCACCAATCCCATGGATAACATGGCCTCATAGGAACAAGAGTTGCATGGGCTTTTGGCTGTTTGCAGGGATGTGCATAGTTGCTGCCTGACAGCCTGTCAGCGCAGCAAGCAGAGATGTCTGTGTGAAGACTGGATAGTGACAGTCACGATACAAAGAAGCTGATGTGATCCTGGAGGGGCCATCAGCATGACCACTGAGCTGAACTGATGTGCAGAGTCCCGCAGCAGTATGCTAACAATCTGTCCCTGGAGGAGAACGGCAGCCCCCCTGTGTTCAGCTCTGAATCCCATGCGGAAAGAGCCCCAAGCCAGTCCTCTGCTGTAGAATATATCTCCGCTCTTCCAGCATCCTTCTGGTACCAGCACTCTGGTAGTTGTAGTTCAATCTGCTCTCAGAAATACAGTATATATTGGCTAATAGGACTACAGGTCCCACGATCATCTGCTGTCAGAAGAACTGGATCCACTCTGTTAACAGGAAGTGATGTAGCGGTCCCAGTAATGGGCACTAGGGGGAAGGTTTTAAACATAATCTCATCTGTAAATGTTCCTGAAAGGCAAAATGATATAGCCAATACCTGGCTACAAACATGTTGTACCATAAAGTGAAATGCAGGGCAAACAGAAGCATTTGTCAAACTGCATAACCAGGCACTTGTTGCTTGGTTCATTAAGCAGTTTTCTGGATTAGAAGCAACGGCTTTCTTTTCAATGTCACCTTTCCACTACCAACCTTTTTTTTCCCTTACATTCTTCCTTATTTATTTAGTCTTCTCACCAGTGACAAATTACACATAAACGTCTTACATAAATTGCACTGCAGTGTACTATTACAGTATGATAGAAATGACTCTTTAAAGATATTCAATACATCATAGCATTTTGAGCAAATGATACAAAAAGCCTGGTCTGGTTACTCATTTACAGTAAACAAGTCTTATTTAGCCCAGGGATGTATTTTATAGAAAGGTTAACTTTTAGACTGCTTGAATGGTAAATTAAGCAAGGGGGAGAAGTGAAAAGGGAAGACAAAGGACTGTACAAAATAAAATGAAAAAAGGGGGGGAGGGTGACAGGGAAATAAAGGGGGCTGAAGTCTCCCCTCTACACCAGCAGTGAAATTGGAGGCATAACTAGAACCTTCAGAGCCCTGGTGCATGACACCATGAAGGGCCCCACAGACCCCTGGCCTGGGCTCTTCCCACTGATCCCAGGGTCCTTCACTCCCATCGCAGGGCCCCTTGTTATGGTGACACAATGGAACTCATTCACATGTTCTGCAGCAGGCACCCCTCCTGCCGTCTCTAGGCCTGGCAGCAAGCGTGACCTTTTCCGACCCTGGTAGTTCTGCCACTGGTGTCAGTTTTTTTAATTAATATTATTTTTTCCCCTTTTTTATTATATATATATCTTACAATTGTATGTTTTATTATAATATTTTTTTTTTTTTCTACAATTTTTTTAGGAACCTGGTTGGGGGCTTTGGTGAGATCTCAGGGGTCTAAACAGACCTCTGATGTTCCACCATTGAGACAGAGAAAGGAGATTTAGGATGCAGCCCTCAATCTCTATCTCTGCAGCCTCAGCCACACAGAATGAATAGACAGGAATAGCTTCCTCTTCATTCACAAACTGAAGCATAGTAAACACAGTTTATTGATCGTTACCAATCACTGACTCTATTAATTCAGAGAAGGAAGGGGCAGGTAAATGACTGGGCCACTTTCCCGCTCTCCATCTTGACGCCTCCTGCAGCAGCCAGCCGGAGAGGGGGAGGGGGGAACCTGGCAGCACTGTGGGGGGGGGGAGCCAGGAGAGTACACAGGGGCCTGGGTGCAGCAGGACCAGGATAGGAGAGGTGAGGGGTGGCATGTAGAGGAAATGCCACCCCCCACACTGGTTCCTCTATATGTCGCCCCTACTGCCCCTCCTATCCATGTGTACAGGGGAGCCGCATGGGCCCCCTGAAGTTTGCAATTGTGACCCCTGTAGGTACTCCCGAGTGGAATATACACTTAAAATTGAAAAGTGGGAAAGATATTTCTGAGTAAATTTAAAATCATGCCAGAATGTTTTGTGAAACTACTCTTCCTTGAGTTTCAAAGCTGCTGTGAGTTCTTTCATACATTTTAACTCAATACCAAAGAAATCCACTATGGAGGGTCTGTGCTTCTCCACTTTTGGGGATACACAATCACTATATGTATCAAGATGAATTTTCAATATTAGTTTTGGGGACTGAAGTAATGTGTAGCAGAAATGCCTCAGGGCAACAGAAACATCCCTAAGGTTGGCGATCCATGTATGTACACCCTGGTTGCATAGAAGTCAATCTACAGACTTCTGTACAACCAGCTTTTTGGGTTTTTCCCAATCAATTACTGCTGCTGGCTACAGCCCTTGGCCCTAATAATTTTATTCTGGCGGTGGAGACGGCTCCCTGCAGTCAGAACAAAATAGCACAGCAGAAGGAATGTCTACCTGGAATGTGTGGACAGGGGAATTGGTGAATTGGTGAATGTATGAACTTCCTAGGTTTAGTCACTAATCACTTTAAAAACTTGAGTGAACTAAATTTAGCATTTTGAAAAGTATGCCCCATACATTTGTATTTATTCTGAAATGCATGTCACTGGGCAAATTATGCTACAGTTGTGGCTCCTGAGCACTACAGCCATACAATCTAATCCTAAATCAGCCCCAAGGTGTCAATGTCCAATGTTACAAAAGCAAAAACTGTACATTCAGGGTGCTGACCCACAGCCAGATAACAACACTTAACACAATGGAAAGAAGGTGTCCAACACAAAGTTCAATTGCATCCATAAATATATACAATATAATCAACATCTCATACATTTTTGAATCATGTATCAATTTATCATGTTACAAAATGTATGTATGTATGCACAGTATATATCTACAATATATGTGTGTGTGGTGGGTGTATGTGTGTGCGTGTTTTTTTTTTTCCCTCTTTGCATGCTTATGTATTACTTGCCTATTTTGAGCAGATGAATTGCATGGTACAAAACATTTGCAGCCCAATTCTGTAATTCAGTATGGCCAAACCAGGCGCACAGCATACAGTGCTGTGAAAAAGTATTTCCCCTCTTCCTGATTTTTTATTTTTGCATATTTGTCACTCTTAAATGATTCAGATCATCAAACAAATTTTAATATTATACAAAGATAACCCAAGTAAATACAAAAATGCAGTTTTTAAATGATACTTTCATTTATTAAGGGAAAAAAAGCTTTCCAAATTGACCCCTAAACCTAATAACTGGTTGTGCCACCCGAATTGACCCCTAAACCTAATAACTGGTTGTGCCACCCGAATTGACCCCTAAACTAGTTGGTTGTGCCACCCGAATTGACCCCTAAACCTAATTACTGGTTGTGCCACCCGAATTGACCCCTAAACCTAATTACTGGTTGTGCCACCCGAATTGACCCCTAAACCTAATTACTGGTTGTGCCACCCGAATTGACCCCTAAACCTAATAACTGGTTGTGCCACCCAAATTGACCCCTAAACCTAATAACTGGGTGTGCCACCCAAATTGACCCCTAAACCTAATAACTGGTTGTGCTACCCGAATTGACCCCTAAACCTAATTACTGTTGTGCCACCCTAATTGACCCCTAAACCTAATAACTGGTTGTGCCACCCGAATTGACCCCTAAAACTAATAACTGGTTGTGCCATCCGAATTGACCCCTAAACCTAATTACTGGTTGTGCCACCCTTGGAGGCAACAACTGCAATCAAGCATGTGCGATAACTGGCAATGAGTCCTTCACATCGCTGTGGAGGAATTTTAGCCCTCTCTTCTTTGCAGAATTGTTTTAATTCAGCCAGGAGGGTTTTCGAGCATGAACGGCCTGTTTAAGGTCATGCCACAGCATCTCATTTGAATTTAAGTCCAGACTTTGACTTGGCCACTCCAAAACCTTAGCTGTTTTTTTTTTTAGCCATTCAGAGGTGGACTTGCTGGTGTGTTTTGGATTATTGTCATGCTGTATAACCCAAGTGCTCTTGAGCTTCAGGTCGC